ATGGGTGGCTCTGAAAAGAGCCTTTTGGAGCGAAGCGGCCGGCGCCCCGGGCGAGCGCCGCATCCCGGCGGGGACTCACTTGGAGCTGGTGTACTTGGTGACCGCCTTGGTGCCCTCGGACACGGCGTGCTTGGCCAGCTCGCCCGGCAGCAGCAGGCGCACGGCCGTCTGGATCTCCCGCGACGTGATGGTGGAGCGCTTGTTGTAATGCGCCAGGCGGGAGGCCTCGCCGGCGATGCGCTCGAAGATGTCGTTGACGAAGGAGTTCATGATGCCCATGGCCTTGGAGGAGATGCCGGTGTCCGGGTGCACCTGCTTGAGCACCTTGTACACGTAGATGGAGTAACTCTCCTTGCGGCTGCGCTTGCGCTTCTTGCCGTCCTTCTTCTGGGCTTTGGTGACCGCTTTCTTGGAGCCCTTCTTGGGCGCGGGAGCGGACTTAGCGGGCTCGGGCATAGCGGGAAGCGCAAGGGACACCTGAGAGCCGTCCGAAGGCGCACGCAGCACAGTAAGGCCCAGGAGGCCGGAAGCGCCTCGCTACTTAAAGAGGCCGTAGGCAAATTAAGGCTCTGCTTGGGCTGCGTGGTGATTCGCGAGTTTTCGGCGGCGCTCCTGCGCGGGGGGACGAGATTATGGAAATGAGCGGATTCTGGCCGAGCCACGCTATTGGCCGTGAGGACAAAGATGCGCTTCAGCCAATGGAAGGGCTGGTTGGACTATCCGGGTTCTGTCTATAAAAGGGTGAAGCGGGGTGGTGCGCGGCGAGTTTGTCGGTGGCTGAGCGGGAGGCGTTTTGCGGGAGCGTGGCCGTCATGTCTGGTCGTGGCAAGCAAGGAGGCAAGGCCCGCGCCAAGGCCAAGTCGCGGTCGTCTCGCGCCGGCCTGCAGTTCCCAGTGGGCCGAGTGCACCGGCTGCTGCGCAAGGGCAACTACGCCGAGCGGGTGGGGGCCGGCGCGCCGGTGTACATGGCGGCGGTGCTGGAGTACCTGACGGCGGAGATTCTGGAGCTGGCGGGGAACGCGGCCCGAGACAACAAGAAGACGCGCATCATCCCGCGCCACCTCCAGCTGGCCATCCGCAACGACGAGGAGCTCAATAAGCTGTTAGGCAAAGTCACCATCGCCCAGGGCGGCGTCCTGCCCAACATCCAGGCCGTGTTGCTCCCCAAGAAGACGGAGAGCCACCACAAGGCAAAGGGCAAGTGAGGCCGGCGTCCCGAAGCCCAGCCAGCCCTGGTGTGGAAGGGGACACCTGTGAAATCAAAGGCTCTTTTAAGAGCCACCCACTCCCTCAAATAAAAGAGTTGTTACAGTAGCCAGCTTGCTCAGTCCTGCCTTTGCGGGTAGTGGGCCGACCTCCTCGGAGACGGCGAGGCGAGGGGAAGGGGTTGCCCCTCCCCCGTTGCTCGTCTTCAATCGTGAGCTCTCGACCATCTTCATTTTGTTGGGTGGTTCGTAGACCTTAGGACTGGACGCAGGGAGAGGAGTCAGACTTCTTGGGGTGCAGCCACGCTCGGTTCGGTCAGGAGTACTGTTAGGCGGCCCCTGACTCTTAAGTGAGGGGCCGAGGGCGCAGCTGGCCCGCTTCCCCAGGCCTTTGCCCAGCGCACACGTACGCCCCCTGCCGGCCGGCAAGGGAGCGGGCAGTTTGCGGGAGTGCGGCGGACCTGGTCCTGGGCTTCCCTGGACGGGCTGTTGGTCAAGTAAAAGTGAGGGACGGCCTTGGCAGCGGCGGTGCGGGCCCCCACTTAGCTTCCTGGAGGCGGGATCTCGCGCTCGGAAGGCGGTGGGATTGAGGGGATGAGGTGAGACCGCTTTCTGACCTGAAAAGCCCCGACAGGCGGGGAAAAAAGGCCCGTCAGACGGAACGAGGGGCCTCGGCAAAGGTAACAAGGCGTTTTGGGGGACGGAGCCAACGCAAGATTGAGGTCGAGTTGGGGAGACAGCGTGGGAAGGAACGGGGAGCCGTGTGTTCTAGGGGGTTGAAGGGCTGGGGAGGAACAACATTCTGACCCGGTTGCGCGCTAACACGCCCCTCCCCCGCCCGCCGAAAAGAAAGGAAAAACAAGGTGCGGAAGGCTGTTGGCAAACTGGAGAGTAAGCGAGGCGAGCGAGGCGGGAGGGCGGGGTAGGGAGGATTCTGCCCAAGCCAATGGGTGACGCCAGGGCGGGTGACGTCACGGCCAATGGGCAGGCAGCGCGGGACTTTCAAGTCTTGTCCCGCCCAATCGGAGACAGACGGTGCCTATAAGAAGTGGGGCGGCGGGCGGAGGCGGCGTTAGTGTGGCTGCGGTAGCGCGGTTGAGGTGGTGATTTGGTTGGTATGGCTCGCACGAAGCAGACGGCCCGCAAGTCGACCGGCGGCAAGGCCCCGCGCAAGCAGCTGGCCACCAAGGCGGCCCGCAAGAGCGCGCCGGCCACGGGCGGCGTGAAGAAGCCGCACCGCTACCGGCCGGGCACCGTGGCCCTGCGGGAGATCCGGCGCTACCAGAAGTCCACCGAGCTGCTGATCCGCAAGCTGCCGTTCCAGCGGCTGGTGCGCGAGATCGCGCAGGACTTCAAGACGGACCTGCGCTTCCAGAGCTCGGCCGTCATGGCGCTGCAGGAGGCGAGCGAGGCCTACCTGGTGGGGCTGTTCGAGGACACGAACCTGTGCGCCATCCACGCCAAGCGCGTCACCATCATGCCCAAGGACATCCAGCTGGCGCGCCGCATCCGCGGGGAGCGGGCTTGAGTGAGCGCTCGGCTCGAGGTTCCATCCTAGTCAAAGGCTCTTTTCAGAGCCACCCACGACAGCACTCGGAGGAAGCTGTGCCACTTAGGTGTCCAGGTGTCCGTCCACTCGGGACATGTGGTGTAAAGGCCATGCGCTGGGTTCAGGTGCGCTGTTGGCTGTCCTCTCTTCGGGGCGGCTAGCTCTCCCCCCACACCAAGTTCCGCTTCTGGGAGTTGGCGGTGCGTGCTCGGTTTACTCTGGGACGCGGAGGGAGATGGTCTTTTTCAGCAGCTCCACCGTGATCTATGTTGTACGCTGTCCGAGCAGGAGAAGAGGGGCTTTCAGGCTCGAGAGGAGTCCGAAACGGCCAGGAACCCCTAGGGGACGCTCGGGACTCGCCTTCCATAGCGCGCCCCACGTCTTTCTAGGCCACTGGGAGTGGCATTCGCGCCGGCGACCTCCACATCCCCGCCGGAAGTGGCCCCGAGAGGCACCGCGCTCCGGCTGGGGAGGGAAATCGCCACCTTTGTATGGCCTGACCTCAGCTGGGTCAAGTTCGGGATATCTGAATTTTGAGTGTGCCTAATCCTCCCATTTTTCGCCGGTAGGATAAGTCCTATCTTCTATCTCTAAGACGGAATTGGGGTCGCAGGGACAGGCTGGAACGTGACTGTGGTGAGCTGGGCCTTCGCTGATGCATTCTCCGCATAGACCCATAGAAGTGAGACTCGTGTGTTCTGTGAAGGTCTCTAAAAGCTTGGACTCGCGTCTGGATTTTCTGTTCAGACTCGGAATTGTTTTCTTAAGACAGGTGGGAACGCTTCAGGTATCTGATAGGTTACCTAGAGAAAGAAGAGATGGGTGGCTTCTGAGTGAAAGTTCTTGGGAAGAGTAAAGAGGCAGTCCTCTAGGAGATGAATTTCCCCACAATCAGGAAATAATGAGGGTGTGGGCCTTAGGAACAGTTCTTGCACCATTTAGGAAGTGGAAGTGCAAGCCCTCTGGAGTGGGAGAGAGTCTTGCCGACCCCCCTCCACAGAGCTCTACAGGTCTGAGATGCTACGAGTACAGGTTCAAATGCTCTTGCTGGTCTTAGATGACACCTCTTTTTAACCTTAGTCATTTCCTTGCCCTGTAGTGGGCCAAGACTTGGGTTTTCTGTTTTGTTGCAGCGCAGTGACAGGTTAAAAATATTCCACCAGGAATTCACAAGGGAAAGAAGAGAAAAGGAAGGAAACAGTTCTGTTTTGTAAGTTCCTGTTCCCTCCCTGAAAAGCTGGAGACCAGCGTATTTTCGTAGGGACTGGGTCACACCAATCTCCAGGGCATACCCCCAGGTTCCTATTCAGACCATTATTCCCTGTTTAGGCCCTCATTGCAGGATAAATCCGTGGATCTTGTGTCTGTACTATCTGAGTTAAGTCACTTTTAGAGGTGGGGGTGGGAGAGGGCACCACCTTTGCATCCATCATCTCATCCATCCATCTTTCAGGCACATAATAGGGCTTTCTGAGGTACAATCTGAGGCTCTCAGGTGTGGCTTGTCCAACATCTCAGGCCCAGGAGTGGCTGAGCTGATCCTGGAAGCTGTGATGTTGGTTACAGGTGTCAGTCTTCTACATCCTGCACTTGCCCCCAGTATCACACTGCTTCAATCTACCAATATGAGTGCCTGTAACCTCCAGGAAGTCTCCCTGTCTGAACCTCAAAGGGAAATTTAGTGGCATTGTTGATAGTCAGAAATAGAAGAAAATCTTGTGTTCCTGTTACTGGAAAAGCCTTCCCTCCCAGCAATCTTTCAAATCTTTAAGAGACCAGCACAGACAGTACATCAATACAAGATAACAATTTAAAATGTAAGTATTCATATTTAATAATTTCTGTACTTAAATGTCTACTCATAGGTGAGAGTTAAGAGATAGTTAAGGACAAGGTAAATAAATGTTCTTCCTG